AAAGAAGATCGAATTGCTTTGACTACTTTTCATAAGTGCAAAAAAAAACTCAAGTGAAATTTAGTAGCTTTTTTTCTCAAAAGTCTACAGTTGATAACAGAAAGTAAATTGGTCGTTCGCGTGTAGTTCGAACCAATTGCGCCCTTAAAATAGTAAGCGAGCGCATTCGCAGAAGTCATCTAAGAAAACTGAAAATTATGTCAAGGAAATTGGATATATTGAACAGATCAATGTCAAAAGGTATCCTTTTGACAGAAAGAAAAATGTTCATTGTTGAAGAAATTATTGATAAATTCTACGCAAAACCTTTGAAAGACGCAATAAATGTTATTCAACGGGTTCAATGGGGACACTATGCAGTTCTTTAGGAGTTTGATGATAAGCCTCCTGTAAAGTCGTTACACTTTTTCACTCCTATGAAAAAGGGATTAAAACTGGATCAAAAGTATACCAGTAAGATATTTAAAAGGATATTGTAAAACAGTAAAACAAATACCGTACAGGCACATTTCGCTTAACGCACCTAGTCTTTGTGAAGGACCCTAAAACAAAGTTTAGACTTTTATATGAGTTAATAATAAGTAATTTTAAGAAGAGTTCTATACGTTTGCTTTGCCTTTGCTTCATTAATTCAATCAATGTTCAACTTTCTCCTTTCATTTTAAAGTTATAAACAGTTTAATATTCTTCTTTGATAAGTGAAGTACTTTTTGGACAACAAATGTAGCTCACACAGTTTCTAACGATTTTATTAAATTCCTCTCAGCTAGACTATAGAAAATAAATATATAAAAATGTGTAATAAAAATAAGAGCTAAATTGTGAATGCTGTGCCAAAAATGTATATGAGATTTAGCCAACTTACATGCAGCAGGAGGTGGCTAAGCCTATGTACATACAAGCATACATACATAWATATTATATAATTTATGGATTAATGTGTATGTATAAGCTGGAGTGCGCCTGCAGATATTAGTCACTCATCACAGGATCAGCAAGATAACTAGTATGCTTGTTGACACACGTATTCACCAACACATACATGCGAAGGAATGTATATATATATATATGTATGTGTGTAAATGTTCAAATAAGCAAATTGGCATGCGCCCTGCTATTGACTAAGAATATGCCACAGCTTTTGAGGCATTGTTTTAATCCACTTATAACGGCACTCACCGTATAATCTACATGTGTGCGCATAGATACGCGTGTGTACGGGCACTATCCATTTTGACCGACATGCGAGTGCACAATTACATAAGTTCAGCAAGAAATATACGAATATATGCGACAGTGGCAAATAGGTAGTTAGTGGCGTGAGCTTATGTGACAAGTTGTCGTTGCTGTTGTTAGTTATAATGCACAAGTGTGTCAAATATGCTACAAAATGTCAACCGCAAAAACCGCACGTATCACTTTCTTATTGTTTTTGCTTTGTTTTCCATTTAGAGCGAAAGAGGTGAGTGCCACTAAGGGCTGTGTTGCTGGTTTATGCCGTTTTTTCGGAAGTTCGTGCATTTCTGCCCTGCACATTGTGTGTCAGCCAATGCAGGCATTACTCTATATATATACATATGTACATATACATATATAAATATATATGAGTGTATGTTGGTGTGCCTCTTGTGGGGAAATCAATATTTAATGAGGTCGCAAGACCATAAACAAATTAAATGCAATAAGTGCTTAACAGGCTGTTGCCTGACTGACAGAAAAGGTATGAGCTGCTACTTGCTTCACTTGGCTCTGCGCATGTGTGTGTGGATCAGTGTGCTTGTGTGCCCACAGTGTTTATTTTCCTGTGCGCTAGTGAGGCGCCAACACACACAATGACAGCACTAAATGAACGCCTGTAGACAATTGCTCACTTTTGCAGTATGAACTTACCGGGAAGCGGTGCGGTGCATTGCGGTGCTGTCATTGCTCTGCTCTACTGCCTTTTGTCTTAGAACAATAAGCGTTAGTAGGCGTGGACGTGAGACGGTGGCGCATTGTTTCATATTTAGTAACATCCCTTCATTAATACTCATTCACAAGTGCACATTATCTATGTTCGTATGCTTGTACATATGCATGTATGCGCATATGTAACTTTTGAGTTCATGAACATCTAAGCGCACTCATCAGCAAGAACTATAACAATGTGGCTGCCACCTGCTGCCACTAACTTGTCGTATTCTATGGTTTTTGCGTTTATAAGTATGTGTGAACGTAAAACTTATTGAGTATTGTTATGAAATACAAATACATTAGGGTGGTATTATGTTCATCGCAGTTTAATGACAGAAAATGTATAAGTAAATGGTTTTGGATATGTTACATATGTAAAGAAAAGTAGTAAAACTTAAATAGTATTTATAAAAGAGGTTGTTTTTAATGAATTTATATTACTTTTATGATAAAAAGTTGTTTCTGCCTTATAATCTTGCTTAATAAAAAAGTTGTCTGTACATTAATTTGATTTTGATCGATCAGTTTGTATGGCAGCTAAATGCTATAGTGGTGCGATATCGATAGCAGCGCAAGTAAGCTGCTCCTTTGGGCACAATCAAATCAATAACTCAACAACTGAAGCACTATTTTGCGTATATTGTATACTGACAGGCGGACATGGCTAAATCGAAGCGCTCCCGATGATCACTTAAATACGTACATATAAGTATGTATATATAGCTTCAGATAGTTTCAGTAGAGCTAATCATTATTAATTTAAAAAAGTCCAAAAATATTGCCTTCCTTTCGGCGCACTATTGAGTAATTTGCAAGTAAGTGTTATTCCTGTAGTCTACATTTTGGTTTATTATTAAGAGAATAGTGACAAAACTCAAAGCAAAATCAATTTCAAGGTAATCAAAGTCAAAAGAATAGTGCAGAGCACCCTCTTTATAAACAGTAATTTGCAACTTCATTTTCATCAAGTTATAGGAATATTTCATTCAAAAATGATGCCAGTGAGAACATCACCGTCAATGGCGACCATTATCGCGCCGACCGACTATTAGGTGCATTCCAGAGTAAAAAGGACTTAAAAACAAAAAAACAGCAAAAACGTTTTTTTTCGGCAAAATCAATTTATTTTGTTCAAAATGGTCTCCTTCTGCTTCAATGCAGCTTTTTGCACGCGCCCAAAAGCATGTCGAACGAGTGTTCTAGCTCGTTAGCCGGTATGACTGCCAGTATGCCGGTGCAAGCCTTTTGAATGACCTCTACGTCAGCATAACGCTTTCCTTTCGTCGGCAAATGGATTTTTCTGAAAAGGAAGAAGTCGCACGGTGTCGTATTAGGTGAATACGGGGAGTGGTTAATGGTGGTCCTCACGACTATTTTGAAAACGTTGAAACACCCGTGCACTCTGCTAGGGAATAGGCAATCATGGCCATAAACTCGTTTCATCAATTGAAATATTTCGGTAAAAGTTTTACCAATTTTAAAACAAAATTAATGTTGGTTCTTTGTTCGTAGCACATTCTTGCATTTGATGTTATTAGAATTTCGCTTAAATAAAGAGATCTTAACTTTAATTTCGGAGAAACCTGACAACCAAAACGGCAGTAATGAGATGCTCCCACCTTGCCATCTACTAGACAACTCCAGCAATACCATTGGATACTCCATTTTTGGCAGTACCATTTAGTTGTTCGGCCTAAAATTTCCAGTTAGAACTAATATATGTAATTTTGTTAAATGCCTCGCCTTGCATATTACATTTGTAAACAGCAATACGGGTTCTAACACACATATGGAAACCACTAGCTGTGTTTACTGTTTTTCAGTAACTCAAAAAGAATACGAATACAAACTGAAAAATTAACTTTATCGTCATCTGAGTAGAGTAATTTGAAGTGATTTACACTTGATCAAAATGTTCGCATATTTTCAAACAACCCTAATGCAACGGCATAATTTGTTGGTTCTTGCGTTAATAGTCGCTTATACGCTCCTTCATTTATATTTTTTATGACAGAAATTGTAAGTTATGTGCATTTTGTTCTACTTTTGCATTCAAGTAGTTCTCGCTTGTATATTATTATCATATACTGTAAAATTAGTGTTTACTATTTAAATGTCGGCAGCGTTTTGTTAATAGCCAAAATTAAAAAAAAAAAATTTAATTAAATTCATTCAGCAAAGTTGGCTTGCCGCAATTCCATATAATAAATTAAATACCTACACACACACACATTTATGGCTGCACACGCAGCTAAACTAACTGTAAAAGTATCTAACTATGTAAGCACATGCTGTGGACTTATGAATACACCTCCATTATTTGCAGGATCTACGCCTACAAGGGTGTCCTCTCTAACTAGCCATGGCAATGCCACCGCAAATATTTGTCTCGTTTGTAGTGTTGTTGTACTTGTTTGTGTTTTTGTTTGTTTAATAAATTTAGTTTCATATTTTGCTGCGCTGCAGGATATTTCTACACACGCAATAACTAAAAATAAAATTGTCACAACACAAACGCTAACGGGACTTAAGGGAATACACGCCTATTGCTGTATGCGTGTAACTGTGTATGGGCGTGTGTGTGTGACAGGTATGAATTGCTGCTCAACATAACTTTGTATCGGTATTCCCGATAGGCGCGTAGTAAATCAGAAAATTTCGGCTGTTAAGAGCATTTATGTGTGCATATGTGTATGTAGCTACATATGCACCAGTGTTTTTGCTCATTCTCATTTTGCAAACATATGTCAACACTCAGCTTTGTTGCTGATTTTTGTGTTTTAAATGAAAAGTAAATTATTGGCATTTTTCTTAAGTTTTTTTTTTTTTGCTCTTGGAAATAATTTGAGAATATTTAAATAAGAAATAAATTATTTTTGAGAAATGTCTAAAATAGTTAAATAAGAAAAAAAATAATTTATGAGCACCAGCGTACATTTCACATAATGTTGCTAGTAAAATAATCGGTGCAATTTACAGCAAAAAATACAAATTGCTCAAATTCCAACCAGCAAACATTCTTAACAGTAAAATTGCTCTCGAATTACGTCTTTGAATTCCTTGACTTTCTCGACAGCCACTGCTGCTGTTGCTGCCTTTTTGCTGTTGTGCGTGGGCGCAGCCACCTTTCTTCAGCTCCTGCTCGGCTGCAGAAATGTGAAGGACATTTTGCGTATACACCTTCAGTTTGTTTATTGACAATTTGTACTTGAATAATGTGGCAGCACTCACTTTATATTTATCTATTTCATATATTTTTATTACATTTTATTTATATTATTTTTATTGTATTTATTTTTCAATTATTTTTTATTCACACTTTTTATGAAAACACGTACTTTTTTCCACCAATTTCACTTGCGTCCGCATACAAATGTGTATAATTGTAATATCTTTAACTTTTCATATACTACATGTATAAACTCTTTATAGTCACTGGCGGCAGTTTTTCCACTTTTCTTTACCACATATTATTTTGCATAATTTTTTTTTTTTTAATTCTTTTTAATATAACTTGCTATTTTTTCATTTTCACTGCCACTTCTACTGCAATTTTCGTCTCTATTTCGTTTCACAAAAGTGACACAAATGACCCAAAGCGTTGTCTAACAGCTTAGATTCATATATGCAGCACGCACGCACACCTACACACATAGTGAAGGTACCAACACACACACTCCTTCAAACGCACGTACGCAACATTTGTATGCATGCGTGTGCGTACTTTGCAAATGCGCCTCGACAGCAACCGTTCTATTAGCCACAATAGCTGTTCTTCTATGACTGCTGCTGCTGGCTCTGCCTGTTACTGTTACTTTCAACGACTGGACACGGACCGTTTCTGCTAGCGACTGTTTGCTTCTGGCCGAGTGTTGTTTGCTTTTAATCTTCGCGACATTGGCGGTAAAAGCTTTTCGCAGGCAATGTGGCATGGGTTGCCAAGCATTTGTGGCGCAGTTGTGGGCGAAGGATATTTTTTTTTTTATTTATAGAAAACGTTAACTTCGAATGCACAGAAGCTATAATACATAATACGTCTTATTTTGTATAGCAGCTATATGATATAGTGCCCGATGTTAACAATTTCTCCGAAGATTATAGTGTTGCTTTGTATAATAAACCATGTTTAATTTCGTAAGATATATGGTTAAATAAAAAAGTTTTCCATACAAAGACTTGAGTTTTATTGGTCAGTTTGTATGGCAGATATATGACTTAATGGTTCAATACTGGCAGTTCCGACAAATAACTTTCGACTTTTGAGAAAAATAGGATTTGTGTAAAATTTTAGATTGATAACCCAAAAACTAGGGGTATAGTTCGCACATATACAAAGAGACTAATCCTGACTAAATCAACTCAACGAGACGTAGAATAAAATTCATTGCAATTCAAAAACTGAAAATTTTTACCTCTACCAAAAAATTATATGAATATGTATCTATCTGGCAATCCTAAAAAATATATAGTATGCTGAGCCATTAAACGAAAATCTAATAATTCGAAAGTCTTTGGGAAAATTTTCCACTAAAAAAATAAACAAAGCTAATTTTAATAAAAGTACGATTCTTAAACAAATTGTGAATTTTTTTTTATTAAGGCGGCATAGGCACGAAAACTCTTACAAGTAAAACCGTGCCGTAAAATGGCAACTCTATTCACAACCACGTCAACTGCGCAGGAGCAAACAATTGACAGAGAGCGTCCATGCATATACGCGTATTCAGGAAAGCTTTTCATATTTTTCCTGCCACAGCTGTGACAGCTCTCTCACACACCTCCTCTACAAAACTTTACGGTTTTTCTCATTTCCACTCTCATTGTTGGCGTTCTTTGTAGTTTCCACGCTTTCCGTTTCACTGATAGTAAACATAATTGGCGGCTACGTCACTGATTGTCGTTTGCAGTGCGTGCACTCGTTTACTAAATAACAAAGGCGAGAATTGAGCACAGCTATGACGTCACGAACACGAATGAACTAACGAACGTCCTTAGACTAAATCAATGACGTCACGGCATTCGAGTACCTACGTGCGCTCTTGCTGTAATTATGTTAGCTGGTGTGTTTTTTGTTGGAGATGATGCTGTTTAACAATTCTAGTATATGTATGTATATATGTATATGTAGAAATATGGTAGAAGGAGGAGCAGCTGTGCAGCACTTCACCCGTTTGCACTCGTTTGGCCGTGAAATGAAAAAGTCAACAAAATGTGCGCCAATTTGCGCTTTCAAGAATCGCAAGCAAGTGTTGAAAGAAAAAGTCAGCAGAAAATGATGACAGGCAGCACGAAAACGTCAACTGTGAACCAAATTTGTGGGCATTCTACGTATGTACATATGTATATGTATTTTTAAATTTTCATTTAATTTTAAGCCCCTTGGCGGCGTGTAGAAAAGTATTTTCGAAATTGTAATTCCGCTAATTGCATTGCAGCTTGGGAGAAAGTGAGTAAGGGAGAAAAATTTGCGTTTAATTATAAAAACTGAAATGGAGAAATGAGTTTTGTGGTTTTAAAGCACTCCTTGGTTAGTATAAATAAACTCAGTTGTGAAATTTGAGTTGCCATTCACATATTTAAAAATTGTTTGCGAGAACTTGATTTTATCGGTCAATTATGAAAGCTATATCCTAAAGTGGTCCGATGTAAAACATTTCTTCTAAAATTAAAAAGCCATGCCAATTTCGTGAAGATATCTCTTTCACCAAAAAATGTTCCATACAAGGACACGATTTTGATTAATCTGCTTTGTATATCAGCTTAGGATATAGCTATAGTGGTTCAATATAATATGCAGCTTTTGAGGTAGAAAAAGGCATGTGCAAAATTTCTGAACGACACTTTAAAAACAAAAGAACTAGTTCACTAGGACAATTGAAAAGCTCCGGCCTACCATAGTAAGACAGATTTTTTTGAGAAAATTCAACATAATTCTCTTCAAGGGTAATATACTGATAATATCGGTCCTCTAACTTTTCAATACCATTTTATAGTATGATTTGTTCTTTGCTTCAATTTCCATCCTCCTCATTTGAAGAAAATTTCTTCCCAGCAATCATTCTTTGGTGATTTGAAAACAGGAAATAGTCGCTGTGTGCTAGATCTGAAGAATATGGTGGGTGCGGAAGCATTTTCAAGAATAATTCAAAGATGTTTGCCTTCATTTTCACTGACTTATAACACGTTTCGGAAAATAATTTGAAAAAACATCACAATCAAATCTTTGAGAAATGATTATTTATAAAAAATGTATTTATTTCTTTTAAACTCGGCCATAGCGACACCATTTCCGGTGACCCTTCAGAAAAAAGATGCGCCCGCGTTCGCAGAAAAGCTCGTTGGAAGTGAAAAAATGCGTGTCTTATTTAAAACCTTACCATTAGCGAAAGCAAAAACCTACAAATTGGATTTTTGCAGACATTTTTACAAAATTTCAGTGAAAATTTAGCTTTTTTCTTTTAAAATAGTTGTAATCGAAAGAAAAACTCCTTTTTCCAAGTTTTTGAGAATTGTTTCTCAAAGACCTCAGTAAAATTTCTTGAAGTATAGATTGAGTAGTTCTTGAGAAATCTTGCCAACCAACTTCAAAACCACAGTGTTTAAAGATTTCGCACTTAGCCTAACTAGCCTAGAGCACAGAAGTTCTCAATATTGTCTCTAAGAAACTATTACTCGGATGAACTTGAAAATTTAGGACAATATTCTATACGTGTTTGAAACCCGTCAACCGATATAACCTCTTAACCTTACATCAATCAAAATTTCTCGGTACAGTTCGATCAAAATAATTATATTCTAAACACACTAAAAATTCCTGACTGTTCTACCCCTATAGAGGTCAGAATGAAATAAATTTTTGGGTGCATTGTTGCTTGAGTTTTACAGAAATGGGAAAAATTACAACATTGTGTGGATCGGTTAAACATATTTCCTTAAATAGAATTCATTTAATTTTTGTGTAAATTAAAAATTATTTATTTTTAATTCGCTATAAAACGGGGTCTTGACGCTGTACAATTCTAATATAAATGTCATACAAAATTCAGCTGAGCGATTAAAAATAGCGCTTCCGATTTATTCCAGTTGTAAAACAAAGCACGAAGTCCATTCAATACCATTATGAACGAGCAATTAAATAGTAATCATTATTTATCGGTAAACAATTTCAAATTGTTGGCTACCGTTCGAACTGTAAATAGCGTTAAGTGACACTCGCTCTCATATACGCTCTTGACATCGGTAGTATTTTGTGTTCACTATCACAAATTTTGATCGCAAAGCGAACACTCCACTTTATTATTATTATTTTATTTTATTTGTTGTAGTTTTAGTTTTTGTTTTTGGTTCATAGTGTACGTAGTGTGTTATCTGCTAGCAAAAAAAAAAAAACATTTAATGCTGAACTAAGCTGAGAGCTTGGTCAATGCAATCGATTTAATGCAACAGGAAATGTGCACACATACAAAAATAAAGACAAAAAAGTCATTTTCATTTTCCGTGCCAGTATGAAAGGCGCCAATGGGAAAATCCAACGAAAAAAACGCAGACAGAAAAGAGCTTAGTTGGCAGAGACAATCATTTTACAGTTCTATTCAATGGATATAAAGTGCATGCGAACTTTGTTCAGCAAGGAAATGGATTTGAACTTTAACACTTACAGTGCGCAAGTTTTACTTTATCTATCTTTACGATACAAAAACAATATTGCTGCATTCAAAGCGTTTGTCGTGCGATTAACGTTAGGGCAAAGTGTTAAAGTCAAATGAAATTGCAAGATTCGCAACAGTTTATAAATAAATTAAAGATTTCTTGTTAATTAGAAAAATGCACTATGCACTTAGCATCCCTGAACACATATAAAAAAATATTTGTGCCTTGGGTTTTAATTTAATTTGTTGAAGGATAGTTTTTAAAGTTTATCGGTATGACAGGATAGGATGTATAATGTTATCCACTAAAATAACTTTTGAAGCAAAGATATCAAGTATGCTACCACACAAAACTAATAAAATACATTTTGTCGACAGGCTTACACTTAATTTTTTTTTTTTTTAATTTAATTTTATAATTCACTATAGTGGCATGGAATATTGGAATATCTTTGACAACAATCATTCAATTCAGTTGGTTAGCTGTCTTCTGGAGACATCAAGTTAGTACGACTCTAACCAGAAGCAGCTGCAAAGCGAAATAATACGCCGAAAAACTAAAATTTTACATTGAAAATAGTGTTGCATGTAAGAGAGAATTTTGAATAAAGGTAGGAGTAGAGATGGGTTTA